CCGTATATTGAATCTGATTGTAAATGTTAACAAATATAATCCTATGCATGCGGGATGTTGGGTGGAGTTGGGTTGTCGCGAGAAATTATGCTAAAGAAAGCGGTAATCAATGTGCGTTCGATGGACAATGCATGTTTCGCAAGGTCTGTTGTTGCCGCTCTACAGTCGGCTTAAAAACATGTAGGACAGGAAATCATCGTATCCGGATTATACTACTGTATTGAATCTTGAGGGTATCGAGTTTCCCGTTACCTTAAAACAAATTACGAAATTTAAACTTTTGAACGATATATCTGTCAACGTATTTACCGAGCGAGAGAGAGGTGGGAAAAAAGACGATGGTAATATAATCGTTCCTCTTCGTCTTATCAAAGAGAAGAAAGAGAAACATGTAAATCTGTTGTACCTGCAAGAGTCAAGACGCGATGAAAACATCATCGGTCATTTCACATAGATTAAAAATCTGTCACGATTGATAGGTTCGCAATTGAGCAAGAATACAAAGAAGTATTTGTGTGATAGGTAGATATACTAATTGTTTTTTGTTTATATATATATATATTATATGCTCTATAATATATATATATATTATATGCTCTATAATATATATTATAGAGCAATAAAAAAGTTGTGTAACGCGTACGACTTGTTACTTTACAGATGTCTACATTATTTTTATACGAGCGAGAAGTTATCGCTTCACATCGTTAACTGTACTACGACGAAAGATTGTGCTGTTATTCTTCCGAATGAGAATGATAAGTGATTATCGTTTCGCGGTCATAATAAGAAGGAACGACTTCTCTTTGTGGTGATTTGGAATGTATATTGGAGAAGATCAACGATGAAGACATTTCGAGATTCATCTATCAGCATCACAAGGTTTTCAGCGTAGGGTATTACACACGTTGTATATACGATGAAACTATGTCGATATACAAATCTTATCGCGGCGAAGATTGCGTGTCGTGGTTTGTCAAGGAATTATACGATTTGGCGCATCGTGCGAAAACGATATTCGACAAGAATGTGACTATGGTGGAATTTACATCGAACGTCGAGTGAGAAAAATTTCGAAACGCGACTCACTGTCATATTTGTGAAAGATATGAGGAAAAAGATTTTTGCGTACGCGATCACTGTCCTTTAACCGGACGTTATAGAGGTCCTGCACATTCACGTTGTAATTTACATTATCAAGATACATACGTTATTCCTGTATTCTTTCATAACTTGGCAGGTTACGACACATTTTATCATAAAAGATATTGCTAATAGTTTTGCGGGTAGAGTTGATGTGTTACCTATAACGAAAGAAAATTATATATCGTTTATAAAACATGTCAAGGATACAGTAAACTTTAAGTGGGGAATGGACTGTGTGAAAGTGCATTTTGTGGATTCGTTCAAATTTCTCAATACTAGTCTCGAAAAATTTGTATCATATCTCGATAAGAGTAAATTGAAAATCATACGATCGGAATTTTCCAATCTTGACGCTGAGGATTTCGATTTGCTTATGCGGAAAGGAGTGTTTCCGTACGAGTATATCGACAGCGTTAATAAGCTAGACGAGACTAATTTACCATCGCGTGAGTTGTTTTACAGTTCGTTGACTGACGAGATCGCTTTCGATAACGATTATCAATACGCGACATATGTTTGGCAACGTTTTTGCATAGAGACTCTCGGCGATTACAGTGATTTGTATCTCAAGACAGATGTGCTTTTATTAGCAGATGTTTTTGAAAATTTTCGTGATACGTGTATTGAGAGTTACGGATTGGATTCGACGTATTATTACACTTTACCGGGATATACGTGGGACGTTGAAATATACTATGTTGATATTCGATTCGAATTACTCACCGACATCGACATTGTGATGTTTGTGGAACGTGGTATACGCGGTGGTTTAAGTCAATGTTCACACAGATACGCGCAAGCTAATAACAAGTATAATACATCTTCGTACGATCCTTCGGAACTCTTGACGTACCTCATGTATTTCGATGTGAATAATTTGTACGGTTGGGCGATGTCCGAATCCTTACCGTACGGAGAATTTCAATGGGTCGATGACATCAAGCGCTTTGACGTAATGTCTGTGTCGTCAGATTCCGTTGTCATTATGAATACATGATACCATTGTATCGCGATAAATATAAGATTATGTACACGGACAGCTTGATCTTCTGGAGTGTGAGAATGTAGAACACGAGAATATCAAGCGTGACATCGCCAGATTCGACACGAGTGATTATCCTGAGAGAAATGCGTATGATGTTCCACGCGTTAATAATAAAATACCCGGTTTGATGAAAGATGAAAATGATGGTGCGATTATGACGGAATTCATAGAACTCAGAGCGAAGATGTACGCATTGAGAGTGATCGGAAAGAGCGATATGAAGAGAATAAAGGGTATCAAAAAAAAAAACGTAGTCGCGAAAACGATCACTTTCAACGATTATGCGCGATGTTTGAACGATATAACGATACGTCAGTCGAGACGTCAGTCGTGCATACAATCGACATTGCACGAGGTTTACACAGTGTTTGAAGTGAAGCTCGCTCTTAGTCTGTATGCTGATAAGCGGTACGTCATATCCAAATCGGTCGCTACTCTATCTTGGGAACATTATAAAATACTTCTGTGTGTTGTAGTTTTTATTGTAATAAATAAAGAAAGTTATAATACATTCGTTTTATCTATCCAAGAATTATGTGAACTGTCCATTCCTAACCATTTCACGTACACTTTATTTCCTCGTTTGCGTAGTATTTTTTCCATGAGATAAGGATTAGAGACTCGTTGTAATTCGTGTTCGTAGAATCCACCAGCTATCGGCTTCTCTTGATAATCTTTCAGTAGATACGTTGCAGGATTCGTACATTGTGTTTTAACGATGTAGAAAATCTCGGTGGACTAATTAGGTGTACAACCTTTTTCAAAAATTGTCTTGAATTTACTAATACGTACTGGATCGCTTATCTTGAATCTCGTTGGAGCGGCAATTTTTACACGACTATATACCGTCGACAAGAGTCGTTATGCAACGACGGATGTTACGCCTATCGGCTGCATCCCAATAGTTCGATGTTTACTATGATTATAATCTAACAATAGACGCAGCTCATCGTATAGTAGCTCATCGATCCATTTGTACGAGCCGTTTAACGTGAATGTTTTCCACATGTTATTTTTGAATGTACAGTTGAATCGGTCCACTACCGACGCTTTCATCACCGAATACGTTGAATAATGATTTATGTTGTATCTCTTCACAATTTTTTTCTGCACGATATCGATGTCGTAAAATTTCTTTCCTTGATCTGTCTGCAGGTTTCGTGGGTATCGTTCGTCTTCGAAATATTTTAGATAACGCTGCGGCTACGTCGCTTCCGTTCTTGCTCTTGAGTGTAGAGCCTATGCGTATTTACTCAAAACATCGATAACTGTTAAAATGTAATTGTAACCTTTGTTGAATCGCGCGTAAGGATGCATCTCGACGTTGGCTTGCCATAAATCATCGCGATCGTGCACCACGCCGCGACGACGTGGAAAATTTCTTCGCGCGGGTGCGTGGAGTTCTTTCACGAGTTTTCGTTTCTCGACACTCATCTATTTCTCTGTCTGTTATGACAGGAAACAAGCTTTGCGCATATCTTTTAAACCTTCCATTCATAGATGATAACTGTAAATGTGTTTAAATACCTCGTTTAGGCACCTCGATTCAGATGTTGAATCTCGTTCTCGTTACATACTTTCGTCGATATTGTCGATGCAGATCACACCGTGATGCAGCATCTGAATATCGTTAGACACTTTCTGAAGCGCGAGTACGATCGTATCTTTCCCTGTCGTTTTAGACGATTTCTCTAACGTCTCCTTCGTCACCATGTCATTCATTTGTTGACGCAGATCCGTTACATTTTGATTTAGACGCTGACTCTCATTAGACACTTTCTGAAGCGCTAGCACGAGCGTATCTCTCCCTGTCGTTTTAAACGATCTCTCTAACGTCTCTTTCGTCACTATATTATTCATTCGTTGACGCAGATCAGTTACACCTCGATGAATCTCGTTAGACACTTTCGTCGATAGCGCGTTTACACTTTTCGAGACTTCCTCCGCGTTGTTTCGCACTTTTTTCACATCGTTCGAGATATCTTTCTGCGTATCCTGAAGCGCGCGCACGATCGTATCTCTCCCTGTCGTTTTAAATGATTTCTCCAATGTCTCATTAGTCACTACATTTTTCATTCGTACAGTTACATCTCGATTCAAATGCTGAATCTCGTCATACACTCTTTTCCACGTTTCTTCGCACCTTTTCCATATCGCTATGCACTTCCTGTGCATCTCTCCTTATCGTTCTAAATGATTCCTCGATCTCGTTTCGCGTATCTCTAAGCGTACGTTCGACGTAGCTTTTGTTTACCACATCGGTGTCGAATTCCGGCGCGTCTACGTGTTCTATTTTTCGCTCCTTCGCGTCGTAATGATCCGGATTCAGACAAAGCCCACTGTCGTATACGTAATTTCGTAAACATTCTATCGACGATCGCGACTTTTCGATTTCATCGCTATCATCTCTCCTCATAGGCATACCAAATTTATTCGTACTGACATCATATCGAGTTCGCGCGAACCTGACCACTGTTGCACTTTTTGTCACAACAATTTAATTTATAATTAATCTAGCTTCGCGAAGTTCTTCGATTATCGACAATATTTCGTTGTCGTGAGCGTTATTACCCGCTCGACAAGAAGCATCGAGCAATTGAAGACGATCCACCAATCCCCCTCGTTGGGATCGTCCCAATAAACGTAATCTATTTCATTGTCGGTCAATTTCGCAGCGGATGGTATATTTGTCTTTATACCTGAACTAATACTCGTGCCACTGTTTTTATGATGAGTAACTAAGAGCGGGGCGATAATGTTTTTGTGTCCCTTATTACTCTTAATAGGCATTCTGGCATTATTGTCACGTCTGTGAGCATTCGTCGTCAATAATATATATGTTTGTACGTTTGTTTATCATTCTCAGTGTAGATAGCATCGTTTAAAATCTTCTTGAAGATCAGCTCGTATAGACTTGGTGTACCTT